AGCTACTCAGGAGGCTGAGGCAGGAGAATTGCTTGAACACAGGAGGCAAAGGTTGCAGTGAGCCAAGATCACACCATTGCATTCCAGCCAGGGTGACAAGAGCAAAACTCCATCTCAAAAAAAACAAAAAAACAAAAAACAAACAAAAAACAGTGTTTCTGATTGTATGTCCCATAAATTCTATTTGTCTTCCCATCAGATCTACAGCTGGGTTCTCAAGCGTAGGAGCTATCAGACTGTGGAAAGACCATTGAATGAAAGTTGAAAAAAATAAAACCCTGATGAGGACTGAATTTTCATTTTGCCGTTTTTTGTTTGTTTGCCTGTTTTTGTTTTTAACGAGATGGAGTGTGGCTATGTTGCCCAGGATGGAGTGCAGTGGCAAGTCACAGCCATCACAATGCACCACAGCCTGCAAATTTTGGTCTTCAGGAATCTTCTGAAGTAGCTGAGATTTCAGGCATGTGCCACCATATCTGGCTCTAATTTTCTAATTTTAAATTTGTTTCTCTAAATTATTATTTGTGTTTGCTGAAATTGTGTATGTGTGTGTATATATATATATATATATATATATACACACACACACATATATATAATTTTTGTATATGTGTGTAGTTGTATGTTACATAAAGTAGGTTGTGGGCTTTTTTCCAGTAATGTTTAGCCATAATTAAAGTTTGGGCTGATATCTGCTAGTATTTGTTACTCCTCACCAAATCCTACCTTATCTTTTAACAAACTGTAAGCTCTTGTAAGATTTCACTTCCGGTAACCTTAAAGGCAGCAGAGTGGGGTCTCTACTCTGAAATTAAATAATCTGCTGTGAGGTATGTTGAAGACGTTAGTCTCTTTCCTGGGATCCACAAAGTGCCAGTCTTTCCTCATCTGTTGAGCAAATTAAACCAGCTGGACAGTTTACTAAAGAACTCAAACATAAGCCACAAATAAGGCTTCTTATTACCCCATCAATGCTTGGATACTTACTACATTTATCAAATTGTTACATTTATCAAATTATTATTTCTCCCAGCACCATTAGACTTTTTTTTTTTTTTTTTTTTTTTTTTTTTTTTTTTTTTTTTTTTTTTTTTTTTTTTTTTTTTTTTTTTTTTTTTTTTTTTTTTTTTTTTTTTTTTTTTTTTTTTTTGAATACTGTCTTTTGTCAACAGAAGCAGCAGCACAAGCTGGGTTCGGTGGCTCACATCTGTAATCACAGCACTTTGGGAGGCTGAGGCAGGAGGATTCCTTGAGCTCAGGAGTTTGAGACTAGCCTGAGCAACATGGTGAAGCCCTGTCTCTTCAAAAGATCCACAAATTAGTCGGGCGTGGTGGCAGCTGCCTGTAGTCCCAGCTACTCAGAAGGCTAAGGTAGGAGGATTGCTTGAGTCTGGGAGCATGAGGCTGCAGTGAGCTGTGATTGTGCCACTGTACTCCAGCCTGGGTGACAGAGTGAGACCCTGTCTCTTAAAAAAAAACAGAAAAAAAACCCTAAGTTGCACCCCCTTCTAAGTGCCAGGCCTTGTATCGGATACTGGGGCTTTTGCAGATGGCAAGGGAGATGATTGCTAAACAATCACCCAAATAAACCTGCATTAAAAAAAAAAAAAAGAGAAACAGCAGCACAGAAAAAGACTGCCGCTGACTCTAGGGTAGTGCCATTTACTTTTACACTGAAGAGCTGGAGATTTCTTAATTGCCTTGAACACTGTATCAATGAAAAAAGCCTTTTATTTTATTTTAGGAGATAGGGTCTTTCTGTTTCCCAAGCAGTGGTGCAATAATGGCTCATTGCAGCAGTGACCTCCTGGACTCAAGCAATCCTCCCACCTCAGCCTCCCACGTATCGGGGACCACAGGCGTGTCCCACCATATCT